GCGTATGTGAGGTTATTTATATGGAATATTATTGAGCCATAAAAAGGAACGCATTTGAGTCAATTCTAAAGAAGTGGATGAACATAGAGCCTATTATAGACAGTGAAGTCAGAAAGAGAAAAACAAGGATTGTATACTAATGCATATATATGGAATCTAGAAAAATGGTACTGATGAAATTATTTGCATGCAGCAGTGGAGACACAGACATACTGAACAGACTTATGGACACAGTGCAGCAGGTGGTGGTGGGGGGGGACGAGGAGAAGGTGGGATGTATAGGGAGAGTAACATGGAAACTTAATTACCATATGTAAAATAGATAGCCAATGGGAATTTTCTGTATGACTCAGGGAACTCAAACCAGGACTCTGTAACAACCTAGAAGGGTGGTATGGGGAGGGCGATTCAGAGGGAGGTATATGTATGGCTGACTCACACTGATGTTTGACAGAAACCAACACAATTCTGTAAAGTAATTACCTTAAATTAAAACATAAATTAAAAAAAAAAGAGGATAAAAACTTAAAAAAAAATGATGATTCCATTACTCAGGGATGAGTCTTAGAGAGCATCACTGGCTGCCCTTGGCCTTTGTAAGTCTTAGCAAAATTGGCCTGGTGTAGGGATGGAGAAGCCTTCAGTGGCCAGAGGACTGCCAGAAATTGTGATGAGCAGCAATGGAGCAGAAGACTCTGAGCTGGGAATGAGGGGAATAGGTTTAAATGGTTGGGACTGTGGACTCTGGCAAGGAACACTAGACTCTTACTCTCAAAAAAACCCCACAAAATGTGAGAGAGAAGTACTGTACCTGTGCAGCTCAAGTTCATGGAACAGAACAGACCAGACCATTCGTACAGAGGATACTGGATTATTTATAGATTCTACCTCCTCAGCACAAACACTAGGTCATATTAGCTACGTTCTTCCATATACTCTGCTAACAGTTTTACAAGGAGCAGGGGAAGGATAATACAGTTTGAAATACTGAAAAGAAAACTGTTAAACCAGAAGAAACTATCTTAATGGAATAATTAAACTATTGGGTCTAAAATTTTACCAGATTAGATTAACATTTATTTTCTCCTCTATTAATGGGTAGTACAGGTGTGTATGTGTAGAAAAAATTGGAGAATGAGAACACAGGAAATATAGCCAGTATTTTATAATTATTAATGGAGTGTAACTTTTAAAAGTGTGAATCACTATATTATATATCTGTAGCTTATATAATATATCAACTATACATCCATATAATACTTTTAATTAAAATAAAAAGTAAATAGCTTTCTTTCAAGAAAAAAAAATGTGACACATATATACAATGGAATATTACTCAGCCAAAGAAATAAGGCCATTTTCAGCAACATGATGGACTCAGAGATTGTCATACTGAGTGAAGTAAGACAGAAGGAGAAATATACTATGACATCCTTTATATGTCATATCTAAAAAGAAATGACACAAATGAACTTATTTATAAAACAGAAAGAGACTCATAGACTTAGAAAATAAACATTGTTCGGGGGGGAGGGACAGTTAGGGAGTTTGTGTACACAATACTATATTTAAAATGGATAACCAACAAGGACCTATTGTATAGCACATGGAACTCCACTCAACTTTTCCTGCCAGCCTGGATGGGAGGGGGCTCTGGGGGAGAATGGATACATGTATATATACAGCTGAGTCCCTTCATTGTTCACCTGAATCTACTACAACATTGTTTATTGGCTTTACCCATATACAAAATAAGAAGTTTAAAGTTAGAAAAAAAAATAACAATAATTTTTTAAAAAAAGATCACACAACTAGTCAATACATAACTGGGAATTTTTAGAACATTATACTAAGTGAAACAATCCAGTCACAGAAAGACAATCCTGTGAGACTATCTCATATGACATATATGAAATACCTGTCCACTTATATGAATAAATACCTTTCCACTTATATGAAATATCCAAAGCATTCAAATTCAAAGCAACAGAAAGCAGAATGGGAGTTGTCAGGGCTAGGGGAGGGGGAAACAGGAAGTTTTTCAATGGATATAGAGTTGCAGTTATGCGAAAAGAAAAATCTGTAGATATCTGCTGTGTAACAATGCAGCTGACACTGAACTGTACACTTCAAAGTGGTTAAGACAGTTTTAAAATAACTTGGATTTGAAATCAGGCCTGAATCAAAAGGTATGTTTAGCAATTATGTAATCACTGCTGCCTACTTTCAATAATTTCATCTTCAGTTAAATACCATTCCCTTTCTCTGATTTACATAGGTCCCCCTCTTCTTTATGGCAGGGTAATAAACCATTGGCTAGCATTTGCTTTGCCTGAAGCCTGTCAAACACCACAACTTTTTCTTGGAGGACTGGTACACAGTTCCAATAGCAAATTGAAAATGGAGTCATCAATCCAACAGACTGAGTGGAGAACCAAACACTGGTCAAAGGAACAGGCAAGAGAGATCTGGGAGAAATAATTTTAGCTGTTTAAAAGACAAAATTCATGATGACATGACCGAAAAGTGCTTTTTCTATTAACAGAAAAAGTCTGCCATAGAAGAAGTTTGAAAAAAAAATGTTTAATGTTATAATTTGAAGTAAGTATTTTAGAAACCATTTGGTGTCATTTCAGGGACTCTGAAGAGCTCTGGTACCAGTCCTTTATATCTCAGCACAGAAAAAGAATTCAGCAAGAGACAAAGTGATAGATAAGAAGTGATTTATTAAAATTGGATGCTTGTGAGGCTTATGAGCAGAGCAGATGGAAAAAAGGATGCCATGCCCTGAGAGCTTACTGGGCTAGTTTTATAATTAAAGGAAAAGTGGGGAGGAAGAGCAGAACTTTGTTGTCTTTCTTGAGTAGACATCACGCTTCCATCATCAGCTTCAGCTCCCGGTTGAGCAGGGGAGTTTTCTTGTCCCTACATGGTCAAGTTAGGTGCACAGATTACTGTTTTTTATGTGTGCAGAGAGCATGTCCTAGGGATCATTAACTTACTGAGCTCACTGCGCAGCATGTGAGTCTGATGTCACCATTGTTTTATTATTTTGGGGCATATCTCTTGCTTCTGTTGCATGATTTTGTTGCTAAAAAAGCCTGCTTGGTTTTGTGGTTAAGTAAACCTGCTTTCTTAAGTAATTATTAACTTACAAGGGTCTCTCATACTACTTGTACTTACAGTCCCCTAGAGGGATTAACTATTCAATCATCTACTTTATCCCTTTACTCCATACCTATCATCTTTTTCTCAATTTTTCTGGAGTAAAATGGAGCTAATGGTAGCTCAGTTGGTAAAGAATCTGCCTACAATGCAGGAGATCTGAGTTCGAATCCTGGGTGGGGAAAATTCCCCCGGAGAAGGGAATGCCAACCCACTCCAGTATTCTTGCCTGGAAAATCCCATGGACAAAGAAGCTTGGTAGGCTGTAGTCCATGGGGTTGCAAAGAGGCAGACAGAACTGAGTGACTAACACTTACTTAATGCTAACTATAGGCAGTATATGGCAGAGGAAGGCTTGCAGTAAAAGAAAATACTTCTGAGAATGAATTAGAATCAAACTGAGTGTGAAAAGCCATGTCTAGAAATGACAAAACTCAAAATATTTTTTATAAAAGACAAAGGGTTCTAATATTACTCAAATATAATCAAGGTGAATTGACTGTTCCAGTAAAGCAAGAACAATGAAATTATACTTGATTTTAAAATCTACATTTACAAGTGGTGTAGTGTAGGGCAAACTACCTAATCTCCCAAGCCTCAGTTTCTTTTTTTTTTTTTTATTACAGGTTGTAGTGACCATTTGTTTGACAAACACTCATTTACTAAGGCCAGGACTACAGTAGGTAGCCTAAGGATACAAAAGCATACATAGACGGTATTGTTCCTACCCTCAACTTCACATAACGTAATAAATATTATGAGGAAACCTACTGAATGTTTTCTATGTGCCAGGTACTACTATAACTGCTTGTAATTTATCAAATCGCTTAATCCTTTTCAGAACCTAAAACGTATGTACTATGTACCATTTATAACAGGCACAGAGAAGTTATGTATCTTGCCTAGGAACAAACAGTCCTCAAGCTTGGAGCGGGGATATAGCTTGACAGTGGACAGGAATTTAAAAATCTATGCATGCGCAGGATGGTAGTGGAAGTTTTCCACACGGAAGCAGCAGTTTTAGTTCATCCGCTCATACAATGGGGTTAAGATAGTACCACTTTCTCGGGTTGTGCCGACTGAATAGTGTAGTTAAGAGTCAGCGATGTGGTAAGCACTAAATTATTAATAAAATGAAATTATTCATTTTATTCCTTTAAATTGGTTCAGCGTGGCGAATCATTAGTGTTTTCGAGGATTTAGCTAGGCGTTGTAGCTTTTCAAATGGGTAATTTATACTGCTACCAACGAATTCAAGAGCTTTCCGGTTGTTGCTTTATGTTACGATATACGATAGCGCTACTCGCTTTGATTATTTTTTTTTAGTTTTCGACACTCTTACCCATTTTCTCTGTCAAGTTCTCTATCTGCCTCATTTTGTACAACCACCTCCGTCACAAACGAAATTCTCCGAGGAACCGCCGTGCGGCGCGAGGGCGGGAGCCTTATCCACCCACAGCCTCTTCCTCTGCACCTAGCTCAGGGCGCGAAGGCTCAAAATAGTTCTCGCGAGAGCAGACTTTTTTTTTTTAACGAGAACGCCTAACCCCACCTTGCCTCTCCAGTGTCACATGACGGGCGCCTGCATCCTAGAACCAAGGTTTTTCTGATCGCCTACTGGCTGTTAACTCTGCTACAGGCTGGCCAGAGGTCCATTCCGGAAGTAGATCCTTTAACTAGCACTTCCTCCCCAGAAGCGTGTCACCACCTAGCCGTCCGGCCTTTGCGGAAGTTCGTCACGTCGCAGTTGCCCCCGCACAGCGGATGTGTGTCGCCGTTTAGGTGACGCTGAGAAGTGCTTGCAGCCGCCGCCGCTGCCTTCTGGTTGAAGCACTATGGAGGGAGAGAGGAAGAACAATAATAAACGGTGGTATTTTACTCGAGAACAACTGGAAAATAGCCCGTCTCGTCGTTTTGGCTTGGATCCAGATAAAGAACTTTCTAATCGCCAGCAGGCGGCCAATCTGCTCCAGGACATGGGCCAACGTCTTAACGTGTATCCTTGCGGCCTAGGCCTTCGGCCTTGGAGTCGGTCCCGCCCTGCTCTGCTTCGAGTCTTCAAGGTCTGTTAGACAAGAAGGGAAGAGGGTGGGCAGGGACTGGGTGTCTAGTTAGGAGAGCCTACGATGGGCAAAAGTTAAGCGTTCGCGAGAGGGAAGCGAGGCGGAGTTAATTTCCCGCTCGCTCACTCGTGCCACCAGCCTTGGTGGGAATGCGTATCCTTCCCGCTTTATATTTTAAAGCAGTAGTAGTCCCATTTCGGTGTGTTGTGATCTCCTGTTCTGGTGACTTTGACATTCTGCTTTTGTGTTATGCCCAAAGTGCCTAGTGGAGGTTTCACTGTTGATGGCTGCCTTCTTAAACTTACTGTGTAAAGAGAGTTTTGAGAAATTTCAGTACCTGAAGTCTTATTAAAAGGTGGCCTAGAACTAATACCCCAGCTTTGGCTTGAGAACCATTCTTTCCACTCACTGGTTGTTTAAGACTGGTTTATAAAATGGAATGATGCCTCTTGAATTTGATTTCTATGCCCAGCACAATACTTGGCACTTAATGTTCAAAACGTAGTTACTGTTAAGAGTTTTATAGTATTTCAGAGGAAGAATCGATGTCAGTTTAGTTTGTAGGCATGTAGACTTACAGGTCTAATGTTCTGAAAAATCTTTTATAAAATACTGGGGTTTTAAGTTACTCAAAATGCTAATGTATATTTGTTTTTCTCATATTTAAAAGATTTAGTGGGTTTTTTTTTTCCCCCTTTAAGTGTTTTGATCAGAAAACCTACTCATTTTGTATCAGATAAAGCTGTAGAGTTTTGAAGTTGAAAGCTTTCCACTTAGGAAGTAGAAATTTGTTTTTGGGTGCAACTTCCATTTAAATGTGTTGCTGGCTGTATGTGTCCTAAGGCTGTCCTCACTTGAAAAAAGGTGTCTTTGGTGCCCATATTAAGTTTGTTTCCTAAGCATCCAGTCGGTACTGAGTTAAAAAAAAAATTTTTTAAAATTCTGTTTTAGTGCATCCTAGTATTTTCCTTATTATGTGTGTATTATTGTGGTACTGTCTCATCTCTGCTCAGTCGTGTTCCACTCTTTGTGGCCCCATGGACTGTAGCCTGCTAGGCTCCTCTGCCCATAAAATTTTCCAGGCAGGAAAACTGGAGAGGGATGCTATTTCCTACGGGTAGTGGGGAGGGGGAGAATCTTCCTGACCCAGGGGTGGTTCTTGTGTCTATTGCATCTCCTGCATTGACAGGTGGTTTCTTTACCACTAGGGCCACCTGGGAAGCCCCCATCTCTGTATATCCCACATTGTTTTCTGAGGTCTTTTTAAGTAAGGCATTCAGAAATTTTCCTTTTCAAAAGAACCCTTGGACAGTGTTGGTGGTAGTGTATGTTGGTGCAGTCATTGTGGAAAACCAAGCAGAGGTTTCTCAAAAATCTAAAAATTGAATTACTATATGACCCAGCAATTCCACGCCTAGGTACATATCTGAAAAAACAAAGACACTAATTTGTAAAGATAGGAGCACCCGATTGTTCATAGCAGCATTGCTTACAGTTGCCACGATATGGTAGCAAACTGAATGTTCGTGGACAGATGAATGGGTAAAGAATAGGTGGTATATATAGACAACGGAATACTATTTAGCTGTAAAAAGTATGAAGTAATGCTGTTTACAGCAATGTGACCTAGAGGTTATCATACTCAGTGAAATAAGTCAGAAAGAAAAAGACAAATATATATTATTTACTTGTGGAACCTAAGGAATACAACTGGTGGAAACAAAAAGGTAAGACTCACAGATACAGAGAACAAACTAATGGTTAGCTGTGGGGAGAGGAGAGGGGGCAATGTAAGGGTGGGGGAGTGGGAGGTACAAACTACTGGGTGTGAGAGAGACTACAAGGATGTATTTTACAAAAGGAGGAATATAGCCATTGTTTTTTAGAAATTGGAAATGGAGCATAATCTTTAAAAATTGTGTTAAAAATTAAAATCAGTTTTTCTTTCCAGTGAATATCAAATAATTCATTAAATACCAAAGTGTTTCTGCTCCCAGGGATCACCTTATGAGAAGGTTTGGTTGCCAGAGGGAAGTAGAACTGAAAAGTTAATTGCTGGAGCTTAGAAGATGAGGAGATTAGTGAAAACATACCTAGGAGGAAATCAATCCTGAATATTCATTAGAAGGACTGGTGCTGAAGCTGGAGCTCCAATACTTTGGTCACCTGATGTGAAGAACTGGCATTTGAAAAGACTGATGCTGGGAAAGATTGAAGGCAGGAGGAGAAGGGGACGAGAGAGGATGAGATGGTTGGATGGCATCACTGACTCAATGGACATGAGTGTGAGCAAGTTCTGGGAGATGGTGAAAGACAGGGAAGGCTGGTGTGCTGCAGCTCATAGGGTGGCAAAGATCGGACACAACTGAACAACAACCTAGGGGGCAGATCAGGGAGGGCTTGAGAAGATGACATAAGCAGAAGCTTACCTAGAGGACACATCAGGGAAGGGTGTTGTAAATCAGTGTGAAGAGATAGTCTGTGCTAATGGATCACCTTGGCAGGATTTTTCAGTAGACAGGTGACAGGTTTAGGTCTTAAATAGTTTGTTTGTAGTCCTTGATCCACACATACTGAGACCTTGTTTATTGATTCAGCAGTTTATAGTGAATACCTGTTTCATATAAGGCCTTGTGGTAAGTGTCAATAGCTTGATGAAAACAGCGAGAGGCAAGTATGGTATCTTTTTTTAAAATTGAAGAATTACAATTATTGATTTCCAACATTGTGTTAGTTTCGGTGTACATTGTGTTAGTTTCTGGTGTACAGCAAAGTGATTTAGTTATACGTATATATAAATGTTCTTTTCCATTATGGTTTTTTACAGGATATTGAATATAGTTTCCTATGCTGTTATCTCTTTGCTTATATATATATGTATATATAGTTGTTTGTATGCTAATACCAGACTCCTAATTTATCTTCTCCTGCCCTCTTTCTTCTTTGGTAACCATAGTTTGTTTTCTGTGTCTGTGAGTCTGTTTCTGTTTCTTAAATAAGTTCATCTGTGTCATTTTAGGTTCCACCTAGAAGTGGTATCATATGGTATTTGTCTTTCTCTTTCTGACTTCACTAAGTATGATAATCTCTAGGTCCATCCTTGTTGCTACCAAAGGGCGTTATTTCATCTTTTTTATGGCTAAGTGATACTCTGTTGTGTGTCTGTACCACATCTTTATCCGTTTGGCCATGGACCTTCAGGTTGTTGCCATGCCTTGGCTTTTGTAAATGGTGCTGCTGTGAACATTAGGGTGCATGTGTCTTTTTGAATTAGAAGAATTTTCTCTGAATATATGCCTAGGAGTGGGATTGCTTGATCATATGGCAACTCTTGTTTTTAGTTTTTTGAGGAACCTCCATACTGTTTTTCATAGTGGCAGCATCAGTTTACATTCCCACCAACAGGGTAGAGAATTCCCTTTCTCCACACCCCAAAGAGGTAAGTATGATTTTCATTTAAGAGCGTCTACTGTGCTTGGCTGCATGGTCCTTTTGGGAGGATATAAAGATTGTATTTTGGGGGATTGTACTGTCTGTTTTGGGACCTTAACTTGAACATTTTAGCTCACAATTGACTATCAACACTGCTATAGTATACATGCATCGATTCTACATGATTCAGTCCTTTACACAGTTCCATCGAAATGTAAGTATAATTTTTTTATATGGTATAATTCTTTTGTGGTTAATTTCAACTTCATATTTCTTTTGTGGTTGATCTTTGCTGCTGAACTGGGGTTTGAAGTTTAGAATTTAGTGTTGATCACTTTCCTCATATATCACACTGCTATTCTGAATCCAGCCTTTTGATTTTCCTGTTTAGTGTCTAGCTACTTGTTTAGCTTTAGTGCATTCTTAGAGTAGGTGGATTCTCTAATAAAATAGATCATTGCACACCTAGAGTTAACATTTTTGATTTGGGAGAGTAGCATTACAGGGGAAACTATGCTTAATTTAAGTGTAACTTTTGAACTGGTTAATAATACGGGCACAGGAAAACAAGTGAATGTTAGTCATTTACATTTTCTAAAAATCTTTGAAAAGAGTCCAATCAGTGTCTGGTTGGAAGGGGAAGGTACATTATGTGATGACTGGGTGATGACTTTTAAGACGAGAAATAGAAAATAATAGTAATAAAGGGATTTTTTTTTTCTGGACAGAATTGTAAATAATGCTATTTTCAGTTTTGCTACCTGAAATGGTCCTATTTAACATTATTGTAAATGACTTGGAAGCAAGTGCATAGTGATATTCCAATTGCAGGTAAGAATATATTTGTTTAATAAAATCACAAGATAATAGGGTTGAACTTGATGAACACTTCATATGGATTTATGAGTCAAATATTTCATTATTTAAGAAAAGGTTATGTTTTGAGGTAGGGTGTTTCAGACTTACCCTTAGGATAATAGGGTTTTAATTCTCTTTTTTATGCCATAGGAAAAGAAATTGGAAAGCAAGATATTAGTGGACTTATGATTGGGAATAATTGTACAGGAAGCCCTTTAGATTTGTGGATTAAATATTCCCAATTTTTGCTGATCATTCAGTCATTTTGGCCATCTCCTATCTTTACCCACTCTACCTCCTCTGATTACCAGGAACACATTCTTCTTAAGAGAGAGAAGCATTTATTGAGTCTGTCTGATAGCTCTAGAATAGAAAGTAGTAGATAAAAATTGGTATTTGAAGAGGAAGTCTATTGCTGTCTTACCCATTCTAAAAGTTTTCTATATTTCTTTTCTTTTATTATGGTAAAGATTTGAAATCCAAGGTGAATACATCTCAAATCAATTTGTCCACTCTATGCATGTGTGTGTGTATGTATGTATGGGCTTTCCTGATGGCTCAGTGGTAAGGAATCCACCTGCCAATGCAGGAGATGTGGTTTCAGTCCCTGGGTCAGGAAGATCCCCTGGAGAAGGAAATGACAACCCACTCCAGTATTCTTGCCTGGGAAATCTCATGAACAGCGGAGCCTGGTGGGCTACAGTCCATGGGATCAGGAAAGAGTCGGACATGACTCAGTGACTAAACAGCAACATGTATGGGTGTGTTTCCCCTGCTTTACCTTTTAAATTACATCTTATTTTCTATGTGTTTATCTTAGCAAGGACAGAGACTCACTTTTCTGTGTATCCTCTAAAGCACCTTCAGTAAACTTACTGCATGAATGAATGATCTGGTAATTATCCAATATAGAGATATTCTTTTGGATTTCATTATGTTTTTGAGAATCCAGTGGTTCTTTTAATTTGGGTTTATTGATCCTCTTTAGAGAACTGATTTTAGGAACATTCTGGAATTAATGGATGAAAAATATGACTCCTGTAGGATGTTAATTCTAAGGGTTTAGTTCTGGTAAGTCCAAATTCAAATTTAAGGGGATTTAGTACATTGTGGCATTGATATGAAGTATGTCCTGTGAAGTGCTCATACATTTTTCTTGTTAATTTTTTTCTAATTACAAAGGTAATAAATGCTTGTGGTAAAAATTAAAATAATACAAGCATGTGTAATGTAGAAAGTAAAAGCTCCTCTGTAAGCCCATCCTCCAGAAGTAACTTTTGATAAACACCTCATTGTTTTGTGCCTGTAGTACCAGCATTTATGTATTTCTATAAAAATCACTTGTTACTGTACTACAATTGCCTTTTATCACTTAACAGTATTTATATATTGGGCATTTGTTATTTTAAATGGCCACATAGTATTTGAGTAGTTGCTATAATTTATTTTACTAGCTTTTGATTGGTGATGTTTGGGTTGTTTATAGTTTATTGTATTATAAATAATTTATATAAAATCATCTGGTACACATGACTGTTTTATAAGTTCTTATAGATGGAATTGTGTCCAAAGGTATGCATTTAAAAGATTTTTGTTGTGTCCCTTTGCTCTACTGAAAGATTGTATCCGCATACATTGTTTCCAGCACTGTGGAAGATGGTTCTTTTCTCTCCATCCTCACTAACAACAATACTTTTATTTCAGGAAATACTATTTGAAGACGGTTCTTTTCTCTCCATCCTCACTAACAACAAATACTTTCATTTCAGAAAATACTATTTGTCAAGTACTAGGGATAGAGTGGTGAGCAAGATAGTGGAAGTCCTATTTTCTGAATTTACATTTCTTCAGTTAGTGAAGATGAACTTCTTATGCCTGTTGGTCTTTGTTCTTCTTGTGAAATTGAAGAATTGACTTAAAAATTCTCTGTTGATTCTTTTTTGCTCCTATTTTATTTTGATTTTCTCATCTATCAAAGCTGTGTGCCATGTGCTGCAAACACTTTTCTTGTTTTGTTGTAACTCTTTTATGGTGTTTTGAAGCCTAGAGCTCTTGCCTTTTTAAAAAAAATTTTAAAATCTTTATTGCGGTATAACATAAAGCATGGGCTTCCCTGGTGGCTCAGTAGTAAAGAATCCACCTGCCAATGCAGGAGACGTGGGTTTAATCCCTGGGTCAGGAAGATCCCCTGGAGAAGGAAATGGCAACCCACTCCAGTATTCTTGCCTGGAAAATCTCATGGACAGAGGAACTTGGCAGGCTACAGTCCATGGGGTCGCAGAAGAGTCAGAAAGGACTTAGCGACTAAACAACAATAACAGCAACATAAAGCACTCAAGTTTGAGGTGTGTAGCACAATTGTTTTTTGCATTTTATTTATACATAACCTCCACTCAGAGCAAGATATAGTATATTTCCAATACCTTTGAAGATGGAGAACTTACCTTTAGATTGCATAAATTGTATTCCTTTTGTGGACATGATTAAGTGACTGGTTTATTTTTACTTAAATCCTGGCATTGCATTCTTTTTTTGAGAAGAAATTCAGCCTCACTATAGTCCATGGGGTCAAAGAGTTGGACTCAACTGAGCAACTGAACTGAATTGAATTTCTATATATACTATCTTAAATGTTTTCAAGTGGGGGAGTGTAAAAGTAAAGGTGAGTGACTTGATGTGTGTGTATTTATGTTGTATTTTCTAACATTTGATACACAGGTGTTGTCTTGTAATAGCTGACAAATTTGAGTGTATGTTACTCTCATTAACTGACTCTTAAAAAGTTTACTATTTCAAATCCTAAACGATGATGCTGTGAAAGTGCTGCACTCAATATGTCAGCAAATTTGGAACACTCAGCAGTGGCCACAGGACTGGAAAAGGTCAGTTTTCATTCCAATTCTGAAGAAAGGCAATGCCAAAGAATGCTGAAACTCATTCATCTCACACACTAGTGAAGTAATGCTCAAAATTCTCCAAGCCAGGCTTCAGCTATATGTGAACCGTGAACTTCCAGATGTTCAAGCTGGTTTTAGAAAAGGCAGAGGAACCAGAGATCAAATTGCCGACATTCTTTGGACCATCGAAAAAGCAAGAGAGTTCCAGAAAAACATCTACTTCTGCTTTATTGACTATGCAGATCACAATAAACTGTGGAAAATTCTGAAAGAGATGGGCATACCAGACCACCTGACCTGCCTCTTGAGAAACCTGTATGCAGGTCAGGAAGCAACAGTTAGAACCGGACATGGAACAACAGACTGGTTCCAAATAGGAAAAGGAGTATGTCACGGCTGTGTATTGTCACCCTGTTTATTTAACTTATATGCAGAGTACATCATGAGAAATGGTGGGCTGGAAGAAGCACAAGCTGAAATCAAGATTGCCGGGAGAAATACCAATAACCTCGGATATGCAGTTGACACCACTCTTACGGCAGAAAGTGAAGAATAACTGAAGAGCCTCTTGATGAAAGTGAAAGAGGAGAGTGAAAAAGTTGGCTTAAAGCTCAACATTCAGAAAACTAAGATCATGGCATCTTGTCCCATCACTTCATGGCAAATAGATGGGGAAACAGTGGAAACGGTGGCCGACTTTATTTTTTTGGACATCCATTCCCATCATTTCATGGCAAATAGATGGGGAAACAGTGGCTGACTTTATTTTTCTGGGCTCCAAAATCACCGCAGATGGTGATTGCAGCCATGAAATTAAAAGACATTTACTCCTTGGAAGGAAAGTTATAACCAACCTAGACAGCATATTAAAAAGCAGAGACATTACTTTGTCAACAAAGGTCCGGCTAGTCAAGGCTATGCTTTTTCCAGTAGTCGTGTATGGATGTGAGAGTTGGACTATAAAGAAAGCTGAGCGCCGAAGAATTGATGCTTTTGAACTGTGGTGTTGGAGAAGACTCTTGAGAGTCCCTTGGACTGCAAGGAGATCCAACCAGTCTATCCTAAAGGAGATCAGTCCTGGGTGTTCATTGAAAGGACTGATGTTGAAGCTGAAACTCCAGTGTTTTGGCCACCTGATTGAAAGAGCTGACTCATTTGAAAAGACCCTGATGTTGGGAACGATTGAAAGCAGGAAGAGAAGGGGACGACAGAGGATGAGATGGTTGGATAACATCACCAACTCAATGGACATGAGTTTGGGTAAGCTCCGGGAGTTGGTTATGGACAGGGAGGCCTGGCTTGCTGCCGTTCATGGGGTCGCAAAGAGTCAGATACGATTGAGCAACTGAACTGAACTGAGTGGTTAAGAGGATGATCTCTTGAGTCAGAACCATCTCAATGTGGATCCTTGCTGCAGTGCCTACAGCTCTTTGGCTTTGGGCAAGTTACCTCGAGCCTC